TTTCAGTGCTATGGAATTTGATAATGTGTACAAGAGGGAGGGAGGGAGGGAGGGGGAAAGGGTGTGCATCTTAAAACCTAGTTAGGAAAGAGGGAGAAATTATAGATGTGTGCATACTGTATGCCTAAAAGTTCCTGCCTTTACAATGGGAGCACTAAGGCACTGATGAGGACAGATTTTGGCCGGGGGTGGGAGGGATTATATGCAGAATTAGAAACATGCTCCTTGTGAAATTTTTCTGAAGATGACTAATCTAGTGGGAAATACTGAAAAAAATGCTGGTAGGAAACAGAAGCAAAATATACGTATCATACAACAGTTATGTCTATAGAAGTCTGCTCACAGCTTGAAGATCAAAATGACATGCAAAAATGTTGATGATCGTAGCATAACATACCCAAAGAGTGCTGAATCAGATTAGCTAAAATGAGATTTACGGTAAGACTGTACTGGGTCTTAGTAGAAAATAATACAGGAAAGAATGAATTTTGGGGTTTTTTTAAGCCTTTTCAACACCTGACTGAATTTCCTGTTCAACTGTTTTCAATCCAGGGTACAAACATCTCTGCGGGCAAAGCCATGGGGGTCGTGGTGGCCACAGGGGTAAACACTGAAATTGGCAAGATCCGTGATGAAATGGTAGCCACTGAGCAAGAGAGGACCCCGCTGCAGCAGAAGCTGGATGAGTTTGGGGAGCAGCTGTCGAAGGTCATCTCGCTGATCTGTATCGCTGTGTGGATCATCAACATAGGCCACTTCAACGACCCCGTCCACGGCGGCTCCTGGATTCGGGGCGCCATCTACTACTTCAAAATAGCTGTGGCGCTTGCAGTGGCTGCCATTCCAGAGGGCCTGCCTGCTGTCATTACGACCTGCCTGGCTCTGGGCACCCGCCGCATGGCCAAGAAAAACGCCATTGTCCGGAGTCTTCCCTCCGTGGAAACCCTGGGCTGCACTTCGGTGATCTGTTCCGACAAGACGGGTACTCTGACGACCAACCAGATGTCAGTTTGCAGGGTAAGCTGCTTCGGTTTCTGTTGGTTAGGAAAGGAGAACAGTGAAATTGGGGGGAACTGCCTCCAAAACTTGTTTCCAAGATCTGATGTTATCAACTTCCCATTACAAAACAGTCTCCTTTATTTTGAAGTCCTTCAGCACCCAATAAGCCAAGATATAAGCCAGAGACTATGCCTACTCCTAACTTATTTTTGTTTCGCCACCCCAAGAAGTTAAAGTGCTTTTAATGTGCTCCCTTCTCCCTATCAACCCAGCTCTCCTGAGTTTTGGAAGTTAAAAGGAGGCTAAAACAAATGAGGTATTAGTTTATAAAACCTAATAGTAAGAAGTTTATTCTTGTCCCAGGCAATTTGCTAGGGAAGATTATAAGAACAGCTGTGAAATATTGATTAATTTGCTGTTTTCAAAGCGGTCCAGAAGGAAGGAAATCGTACTCTTCAGTTGCAAGGCAGTCTTGTTTTTGAAGGGCTAAATCGAAGGGATCCCCTCCAGCTGTCCTCAGATCAGGATGCTGAGATGACTGGGCTAGAACGCCAAATGAGCCCACAGTGCTAAAGATGCCAGTAGATCTTTCTGGGTATTTTCCACAGCTAAAATGAACTTCTGTTCTCTCTTCTGATATGCTGTTTACCTATCCACGTTGCTCCCTTGCCCTGTCCTGCATTTAGCGGTTGAAGTCTGCCTTCTCGCAGCGTACAAAGCAGCGGCTCATCTGTATTCTGGAAGAGGTGCTTTGCAGGGCTCTTGTGTAACAGCCCGTCTTTCAGGGGGTAGATGCCAAACAGCTGAATGGCTCCACCACAAAGGAGCATCCAGATCTTTCCTCTTCTGGAAAGCATCTTTGGCAGGGCAGAATCGTTGGTTCGGCTCTTTTTAAAAAAAAAATCTGTTCCTACAGGGTTGGATCTATTAGGTGATGCAGAAAAACATTTCCTGGAGATTGTGGGGTGGGTGGAGAATGGCTGAGCGTGTAAGAGCAGGATTTACTTGTATAAAGATACCCCTTCAGCAAGCTTAGCGATGCCTGGGGAAGGATTTTTCTGCATTAGGGTCTGTTGCCAAACTGTAGCTAGTCCAAATGGATGCAATTTAAATTCTTGAGACTTATGCGGAGCTGGACTGTCAGTAGCAACAGCAAACTGGCAAGAATCCAAGTTTGGGGGGTTGCTTGGAGAGAGGAGGGGAGGAAGAAACATAAATTAAGGCCACAACACCATTATGTTCCCTTTCTGCACTTTGGATCGCCTAGATCTGGGGAAGGAAAAAACTTAACATTTTTGGATGCTTTTCAACCCAGGATGTTTGCATCATGGAAGAGGTTGCCCTTGTACATAGTTTCTGTGGATGGAGGTGAAACGTCCTTTTGATTGTTTGTGTGGGCCCCTCTTTTTGAATGGTAGGAGCACAAGAGATTTAACCGACTGCCTGAGAACAAGGCTTCATGTATTGTTCTAGTCAGATAAGAAGAGAGGGAAGGAAATAGGGCAAGGTGTAATTTCAGGAACAACTTGGAGGAGCTTGTATGTGACCTATATTCTCAAAAGTACAGCTTGATCTTCCTTTAAGGTAAAGCATGCTTGGTTCTTAAGACAGCTGGGCTGATAAAACTTTTCATGCCCAGCTGTCTTTGACATGAAAATGTTCTAGATTATCTTAGCTAGTTGAGAGTAACTGTGCCCTTGTGTGTCTTACAGATGTTTATTGTGGACCGAGTGGAAGGGGATAGCTGCTCTCTGAATGAATTCACTGTGTCTGGTTCAACGTATGCTCCCGTCGGAGAAGTGTGAGAACTTTTATTCTTGCTGTTTGCCAGCCGATCCTTCTCCAGGTCTCCTTGTATGCAGGGTGGCTAAGCCTAGAATTATAGGGCCTGAAAGGAAAATTGATTCTGTAAAAGGGGATTGGTCTTGATCTACAGATTTAAAGCCTCTTGATCCGTAAATTTAAAGGTAATTGTTTAGAATAATTTCCCTTTTGAGAAGCAGTAGAGCAGTGTTTGGTTACACACCCAACATCCACTTATGTAAGTGGTTGAATATTAATCTACTTTCCAACCT